CCAACAAACTAGGCATTTTGTTGATAGATCAAAGAATGCCACAGAACTTGATAGACCTGTTTCACTCAGTATAAAATTGGAAAATGAAGCAAAAAATCATTGGATATGACAAAGCAATGTTGGTGGAGAAAAGTACACATGATAAATATATAAATATAATAAAATAAAATTAACACTATCAGCCACCCATTTATGTGCTTTACTTGTATTAACTCATTAAACTTTTGCCACAATTTTATAAATTATGTCAGTTTATAATAGGACTATTATTATCCCACACAGATATTTCACAGATGGGAAAACGGAGACTTAAGAGGTTAAATAACTCACTCAGTGTCACAGACATACAGTGAATACCGGAGCCAGCTTGTACTGGCTTGCAAGGGCTGGTTATTAAATATTCAGCATTTAGTTGGTAGCTTAAAATAGGCCATAATGGGAGTGTGGGACTATTTACACTATGGATATTGGCAAACAGTACACATCAGACCTTTTTTTTGAGAGCAAGTTTATCAGCGCACCATGGTAGTCTGATTGGGGTTCTGTAGATATTCCAGTCCCTGGGACCATAAAAATGGTGGGAGATGGACAAATAAATAAACAAATAACATAAAATATATAATATTTAAAATGATGACAAGTGCTATTGAGAAAAGGTATCAAAGGAGAGCGAAGGAGTTTCAGTGTAATTGTGGGCATCTGGGTGTGATTTCGCATATGATTATGAAAACAGAAACCTATAGGCCTTAACAAAGACATTAAGAATTAACTAGAGGAATAATCTTGTCTGAGAATAATGGAAAAACTCACACATAGAAAGTAACATTTGAACTGGACGTTGTAGAGTAAATATTAGATCCTTATATATCAGTCAAGGTCATGTAAGGAGGTAGAAATCACATGTTATTTGAAGAGGGAGAATTTAATATAATGGATTATTAACTGCATAACTGAAGAAGAGGAGAAATTGAAGGTATGGAAGTAGTAATTGTAGGAACAGCTACCACCCCCAGGGTGAAGAAACAAAGGAAAGAAGTTGAAATTATTAAAACACAGAAACTTAAAGGAGGGATCAAACAGAGCTGAAACTCAGACCTCAGAAAAGGAGGTGCTGCTTGGAGGGTGCTGTGTCTCAGGACTCAGAGGAAGGGCCCCATGTGTTTTGGGTCTGAACCTGTGAGTAAGGGACACTGGACAGTTTGATGCTGGTGTCTCTGAAGAAGGAGTAATGAGATGGGTCTGTAAGTGTTGGGAAACCATAAACTGATTCAGCTGCTGTAATGAGAAGACACTGCCTCTGCCAGAATTAAGAAGTTTTGATGATAAAAACAGGAAGCTAATAAGGAAGGAAATTTCCATCCTTCCTTCTCCTATCCTGCAGTGCTCCTCTAGTATTATCTATTGGGATAGCTTACCAGAGAGCCAGTATCAAGGAGAAATATTGTTTGCAGAGTCCCAAACCCAAAATCATAAAGCAAAAGAGTGGCTTTGGGACTGAGACAATACTTAATAAGAGAGTCACCTTACCTAGATTTAGAAGGCTCTGCATGGTCTGCCTCCTCATAAGTTTCTTTGCTACAGCCACTTGGCCTTCTGCCAGGTCTTTTAAGACACCATGCTTCCTCCTGCTACAAAGCCTTTAGCATATTCTATTCCTTGACTATGATGTTCTTCACTTTTTATTTATTTATTTATTTATTTATTTATACAGAATTGGTCTGGTGTTTTAAATTATAAGTTACTAGAGGCCTGGTGCATGACATTCATGCACTGAGGGTGGGTCCCTCAGCCAGGCCTGCACCCTCTCACAGTCAGGGACTCCTTGGGGGATGTCCGCAAAGGGGTTCTTAGCGCTGCTGCGGAGGCAGGAGAGGCTCCTGCCACTGCCGCTGCGCTCCTCAGCTGTGAACCCAGCTTCTGGCTGAGTGGCGCTCCCCCTGTGGGAGCACACTGACCACCAGGGGGCAGCTCCTGCATTGTCTGCCCCCTGGTGGTCAGTGTGCATCATAGCAATTGGTCATTCCACCATTTGATCGATTTGCATATTAGCCCTTTATTATATAGGACTAGAGGCCCAGTACATGAGAGATTTGTGTGTGGGGAGGAGGGTGTCCCTCAGCCCAGTCTGCACCCTCTCCAATCTGGGACCCCTCGGGGGATGTCCAACTGCCCACAGGGATCGGGCCTAAACTGGCAGTCAGACATCCCTCTCACAATCCGGGACCGCTGGCTCCTAACTGCTCACCTGCCTGCCTGCCCAATCACCCCTAACCATTCTGCCTGTCGGCCTGCTCACCCCCAACTACCCTAGAAATATCTCCCATTCTTTTAAGGACTAACCTTTCCTCCTGGCTGATTTGGCTCAGTGGATTGAGCCTCAACCTGAGGACTAAAGGGTCCCAGGTTTGATTCTGCTAAAGGGCACATGCCTGGGTTCTGGCCCGATCCCCAGTAGTGGGTGTTCAGGAGGCAGCCAATCAATGATTCTCTCATCATTGATGTTTCTCTCTCTCCCTCTCCCTTCCTCTCTGAAATCAATAAAAATAAATATCTTTTAAAAAGGACTGACCTTGCACAATTTTATGCAAATTTCTTTGGGATATGTCACTACAATGCTCTTAATATTCTGGCCAGAACAAACAAGTATTTGAAACAAATGCCAAATTCCCTCATTAGTAGATGGATAAATCAGGCAAAAATCATATGGGTGGCAAAATTAATTCCATCTCTATGAAATGGGCTTGAGTTTCTCATTATATAATGACTTAGGGGGGAGGGGGGAAGTCTCATTCTGTCCATCAATTATTTGAGAAGAATTGTTGGAGTCTATCAGGTAGACTGTGCTACCATAGTCTTTTTAAAAAAGATATATTTTAGAGAAAGGAAGGGAAAGGGTGAGAGAGAGAAACATCGATGTGAGAAACATTGATCGGCTACAAACTGGACATGTGACCTGACCAGGAATCAAACAGGTGATTTCTCCCTAGCTGGTTTGGTTAGTGAATAGAGTGTTGGCCCTTGGACTGAAGAGTTCTGGGTTCGATTCCAGTCTAAGGGTGTGTACCTTGGTTGCAGGCTTGATCCCTGGCCTTGGTCAGGATGCGTGCAGGACTCACATTGATGTTTCTTTCTCTCTCTCCCCGTCCCTTCCACTTTCTCTAAAAATCAATGGGGAGATATCCTCGGGGTGATGATTAACAAAAAGAAAAGAAAAGAAAAAAAGGTCTATCTTTATGCTGTTATATTTGCACAATTAACAAGTCACGATACTGGAATTAAAGGGGAAAAAGATAAGCTCACCTTTTCTAACAAATTATGCTTCTGTAATGATTTTCAACACTTAAAAATTAGAAGATTTGAATTTTCAGGAAAAGGAATAGGGAAACATTACTAACTATGCAAAATCTATTAACCCTCTAAGAGAAACACTGTATGCAAAGTTAACTCAAAATGGAAAGCCTCTTTACACCTACATTTCCTCCAAATAATTTATTTAGCAATAACAGAAGTTAACTTTTTGGAGGATTAAATATTTGCCAGACATGTTACAGACATCATCTCATTTCATCCTCACTACACTAGTAGGCATTCATTCGTTCCTTTACTGAGTGTTCACCTGGCTGGGCACATGGCTGAACGCTGAGAATTCAGTAGTATTATTGGCCTAGGTCAGTCTCAGGAAGCTTAGCCTCCTAATTATATTACCCTCTTCCTCGTAGGAGAAAATGGAGGATAAGCTCTCAGGTAAACTTATTTTTCCAAGGTCACACAGTATTGGAGCAGCTACAGAACCAAGGTATCTCATTTCAAATCTTTGCCCTCAATCATTAAGCAGTTAGTAGACTTTTATAAGATTTTTTAAAAATATATACTTTATTGATTTTTTACAGAGAGAAAGGGAGAGGGATAGAGAGTTAGAAACATCGATGAGAGAGAAACATCCATCAGCTGCCTCCTGCACACCCCCGACTGGGGATGTGCCCGCAACCAAGGTACATGCCCTTGACCGGAATTGAACCTGGGACCCTTGAGTCCGCAGGCCGACGCTCTATCCACTGAGCCAAACCGGAGCTGCGGCAGCCCTTTTATTGTATGTCATCTTTCTAATTTTTTTTTCCAAACATTTTCCTCTCTGCTCCCTTATTTTTCCCAGTATTGACCAAAGAACAAGTGGTGAATTTATACTCTTAAATGCCAGGCATCTGGGAGACTTCAGGGGTGAGGATCCAAGCCAGGAGTATGGGGGACAGACATCTTTGAAGAAACAATAACACATACACAAGGCAGATCCTCTGCTCAGGGAAACAGATTGGGTTTTGTTTTTGTTTTTTTTTTCACCTCTTTGCCTTTCTCTACTGCTTCCAAGACGGTTTTGAAGCTGGACAGCTGAGACAGAGCCTAGTCCACCGGCTCCCAAAGTCCGGGACATCTAATTTTTATTCTGCAGCCCTTCACTCTCTACCCCTGTCCGGTTTCTTCCTGCATTCTCTGTTAGGTGGTTTTCACTTCTTCAGCCTTGGTGGATAGTCTACATGACTATTTCAGTTTTACACGATCGCCATATGGACTAGGCTGCCTTATGGCGGGCGACCTTGACAGACATCTGGGTGGGAGGCCCAGGGGAGGGTGGGGCCGTTGGCTCTGAGGCTAAAACCTTCAGATCGCGGTAAGGAGGCGCCACGAGGAAGTGGCGACAACAGAGTTCCACTCAGCGTTGAGTTTTCTGAAAGACTGACAGTAATTGCACCAACTGCCTTTGCTCTAGCAACTTGCGCGGTCCCGCGAGATACAGACGCTAAACCAGAGGGAGGAGTCAAGGGCACCTCTCTGGAAGGGGGATGGGAATATCTATGGCGCAATCATTGCGCGAGATTGGGCTATGGTCGCTAGGGCCTTTCTTAGATATCGCGATATTTCGGCCTATTCAGTCTGGAAATAGTGCAGCTTCTCGCGAGAGCCCGTGCCGAGGGCTCTTGGAGGCCCCGTGTGTTTGTGTGTAGATGCGTGTTAGTGAATGTGAGTACGGGGAAGCAGCGGCCGCCATTTCAGGGAGTCTGCGGACGCTGTCGCAGGGTTGGATCCTGAGCTGCCGAAGTCTCCGTCCTGCACTCCCGCGCGGCTTCCCTAATCTCATTGTTTCTTTTAGATTCGCTCGGGCCTATCCGCCCTTGGAGCCCGAAATCCGGGCTGGGCGTACCGCGGCCCGGGCCTAGAGACTTAACTGTAGCAACAGCGGCGGCGGCGGCAGCTGCGGCAGCCCTCCTCTCCGAGCACGAGCACCACAGGGGCCCAGAAGCCCGCGCAGGTAAGGCGATGTGGTTGACTGGAGTATTGTCAGAGGCTTTTTTGAGGTATGGGTCTTTTCTGGGTTGCGGACGCTCCTTTCAGGCGGTCTTTAGCGACGGGGGGAGGGCAGGTTTTCGAGAAAGCGGCCCCATTTTGACGACCGCGCCCTTCTTTTCCGGTCGGGTATGTTTCAGGGGTTTTGGGTGGTACGAACCCCAGCGAGGTCTCGGGCAGATGGTAGTCAGCCCCTTGGAGGCCTGGGCCAGCCGCGACCTCCCAACATGGCGCCAGCCGAACGCAGCCATGGCTCCCAACCCCTCCCAACCGAGGCAGTTCCCCCTGCTTCTAAAATGGCAGCGCGGGTTCTGCGCGGAGAGAGGCCTTCTCGCTTGAGATTCCCGGCTTCTGTTTTTGGAGTTCATTGCGGACTTTGTAAAGTCGAACATTTCCTCGACTTTCATGTGTTCTGTCTTAGAGGCACTTCAGATTTAATTGCCAAGCCTGGTAAAGTACTTTCATCGTGCCTTGGCTTTTGAAAAGGTTTTTCTGAAGTTTTGTAATATTCGAGTAAGACATTGAGCAGAATTGAAGAATATTTATTCATAGAATTACCTTATTGTTTTCATAGGCGTTTAGAGAAAAATGGCAGACGATATTGATATTGAAGCAATGCTTGAGGCTCCTTACAAGAAGGTGAGAAAAAACATGTTGGTGAGGTTTATATATTTCTTAATTTAGCATTATTCACGAAACTACTGCTGAAATGTAAACTAACCTCCCCGGAGCCCTCTTGATTTATCTTATCAGAGATGCATTACGTATAACTTACAAAAGTAAATATATGCTATTGATGTAATAATATTGTGCAGTAGTTTCACTTCAGCGTGATGAATAAATGCCCATCTATCTCTCTTTGTAGACTTGCCTAACGATATCTCACCTCTACTCCCATGAATTCACCTTTGATTCCAGTGTGAACTGTCAATCATAAGGTAGTAATTGAGTGACTTATCGCTGTACCGTGGTCCCCTAGGTAAAATGACTCAACTAAGAATTACCAGCTCCAGTTTGGTATAGCAAAAAGGTGAATGTAGTGGTTTGGGAAAATAGCAGGGGTCCAAGAATCACAAAGTACAACCAGTCTGTGGCAAGCAAATATTTAAGTCTTACAAGAAGAAATGGGTGAGATTTAAAATTTTTTCTATGTATACATATAAAAGACTGGTGATATTAAAAACTAAAACAGGCAGGTGATGAACTGCTGCTCAATTAAAATTACTAAAATTCTTGGATCCCTGAATAGAAAAAAAAAAAAAGCAAAAGAGGCAGTATCACAACTTAGAGTCACTTGATGACTGTTTTACTGTTCTCCATATTGTTTTATTTTTAATTAGTCCCTGCCATATTTCACACTAAAAACTACAAAGGAATTATTTTGGCTAATAATAATAGTCTTTGACCCATTTCAGTATCACAGTAAAAATAAAGTGTCTTCATTCTTTCACCAGTTGGTGGTGAAAATAGCAGTATGCATGCATTATCACTGGTGTCACAAACTGTAAGCTTTGTAAGTTAGCAGTTATACTCCATTAACTCATGTAATCAAACTTTAAAATAAACATTGCGCTAAACCTTTTAAAAATAATACATTTGTTTTTGAGTGTGTAGCACGACCATGTGGTACCAATTTGGATGAATTCTTTATAGCTTTAAATAGTGTACATAGTTTGTAATGCTTAAGACTCTTGAAGAGTTATATATTTTAATGTTAAGATTTTTGTGTCTTAGTTTAACATGGATGAAATTCCATGTAAACAGGTATGGAAGTAGGAAATGTTTAGGTTGGACTGGTGGATTATTAATTGACTTTCTTGGGTTCTTGAGAGTCAACATTACTAAAGCAGTGTGAATCCCTGTTTGCTTCAGGGCGAGATGTGTGACAGAGGTGGCATCAAGCTCTTACAGTCCCAACCCTCCAACGGAAATGGGCGAAGATCTCAGGAATGGCATCGGTCACAGGAAATCGATAGTGGCTGGCTGCTAGCATGGCCACTTGGGGCTTAGGCAGAAATAGAGCCATGGTACTGACCAAAGGGACCATAGAACATGGAATAAAACTCAAAACAGGACTTCATTCATGTTTTAAAGAAATTCTATTTACTTCAACACTGTAAATCTGGATAACTTAATATCTATATAAGAAAGTAAAATTTAACATGTTAATATGTATTTTTTTATTTTTGTGTCTTGATGACTTAATCGTAAGCAACAAAGTGGTTAAACACATACCCATCTAAATTTTTTTATAGCCTTCCATGTTAAAATATGAATAAGTAATTAGTTTTAAAATTGTTTTGTATTTTCTTATTCCTATTCCCTTTACCCTTTGACAACTTGAAATGTTACCACTTCGTCCTCATGATGTTCTTCTATCAACCCTGCTTAGGATGAGAACAAGTTGAGCAGTGCTAATGGCCATGAAGAACGTAGCAAAAAGTAAGTTTTAAGAAGGGACCTGGGGTGGGGGAATTTTATGTGTTTGGGATCTTATTAAAGTTTTGTTCCTCTGGCTGAAGCATCAAACTAATTCTCTTCAGAAACTTTTCTTTTCCTCTTTTAGAAAAGTGGTTCTTTATCGTTTGGGATGAGAAACTATTTGAGGATATAAAACTATGGACTCTCCCTAGATTTTAGGATATGGTTTCAGGGACCTTTTGGAAACCTTCCCCTCTAAGTACATCCATGACAGTTTGGATGAGAGTTGTCTCTTTTATTGATGTTACCAATTATACTAAAATATCCACTGAAGGTGGGTTAGGAAGAAGAAAAAGTAAGAAATAATCAGGCCAGGGAAAGGATTGTTAGTTCTAAATTACTGAAGGATTCAGAGCTATGAATTATTTAAGATCCTTGCTGATTAAAGGCCCCTTTTGTCCTAATGCTGTAGCATATTTCAGTACTTATGTTCCTCCTACATAGCTTTTGTTGTCTTAAAACTTTTAAAACTCAATTGGACTTAATAGTAAGAATGGGGAATTTTTTAAAAATCTAGTGATACAATTTATTTGAGTTAATGAGTAACCCAAAATAGTAACTCAGTGCTACAGAATATACAGTAGATAAAATTCTAAGTAACAGTATAAATTAGATCTACTTTATAAGGTTGGATACTATTCTTGGAGTTTCCTTTCAGTTCTAAGATGAGTGATGTTACAAGCATTAAATTGTTTTGTTAACCTATATTTGTAATGTATTAAACTATTTTGTCATGTTCATGAGCTCTTAATACATAATGAAAAATGATGGTAAATAGCCACTCCTTGGTTATTTTTTGGCTCTTTTCCTCCTAAGAGTTGAAAGTGCTTTTTATAATATACTACTTTAACATCTTCACAACAACTTTGTTAGGTAGGTTGATATAATTTCATAAAAAGATGAAAAAATTGTCAGGTGGGATTATTCAGGCTTTGCTACCCACATTTTTTTAAAATTATAATTTCCTCAAAATAATGTAGTAGTAATGGTTTAAAAGTGATGTAAAATGTAGTGAACGTCCTACATTTTTTTCTTGTGGGAGTCTGTTCTTCACTAGCCACAATAGATTATGGATATTAGGTTGGGTTTAGTCTTGACTTGCTATATGTGAGGCAATCAACCAATCATGGCATGATTTAATGTCATCTGGTTTTAGACCTTTCACAGAGTAACTTTCCTAATTAATGGTTCTAATTTGCAATTCTGTAATCCAAGAAAACTTAGGAAGGGGGTGATATTCATATGAAATGACTGAAATGATCCAATCTAGGTAATTGGGCCTGGTGAGTGAGTAAAACTCATAGTTAAGTATGGTAAGAATGAGGAAATACACTGTAGGGCACAGACCTTTGTTGTACCATTCTCAGATGTCACTCCTTGCTGATAATACCATCTCCAGTTTTACTTGTTTTCATCCTGCATCTAAGCTCATTAAGGCCACCAAGCTTTTACAAGGATTCAGTGACTGATGCTTAGTGGCCTTTTTATCTAACGTAAAAAGTCTTATGAGACTAAATAGAATGGACAGTTTTCTGTAATTGACCATAGGGATCTCCCTTGTTTAAGAGGAAAACTTTTCAAAACACTCCCAACTACTCTCTGATATCTTTTAAGTGTACAGATTATTTCTCTGTCAGTCTTCTCAGCCTCAATTATGTGTAGCTGATTAAATAAATGGCTCTCTTATTCAGTCAGGAACTTTCACCCACTTTTTGAATGGAATTATCTTCAAATTAATTTCAAAGTTACCTAGAAGAAATTTTTGTTTGGTGATGGATATAATATAAAACAAGTAAATGCTCTGTGATTACTTTTTACTGTAAGTTAAGTCAACCAAAGGAAGGTGCCACCTTGCATTTTTCATACTAAAACTTCATTGTCTAAAAAGTAATTGAGTGTCAGGATAGGTTTTTTAAAAAAATATTTTTATTGATTTCAGAGAGGAATGGAGAGGGAGAGACAGAAACATCAATGATGAGAGAAAATCATTGATCGCTGCCTCCTGCACACCCCCTACTGGGGATTGAGCCCGCAACCCGGGCGTGTGTCCTGACTGGAATCGAACCTGGGACCCTTCAGTCCACAGTCCGGCACTCTTATTCACTGAGCCAAACGGGCTAGGGTGAGATAGTTTTAAGGTAGTAAGAAAATACACATTCTGAGAATTGAGAGAATAGTAAATGTTTTCTTTTAAAAAATACTAATTCTAAAAAAACGAAAAAATAATATTCTGATTCTCAATGCATACACTCATTTGTATTCTAATAGTAAAAGGAACTAAGTTTAATATAACACAAATTGGTTCTAAATTGACCTACTTTGAAAAGAGCTATATACCCGAGTTTGGCAAGACATCAAGTACTGGAGCTTGCCTTCATGGGAATGTTATTTGTTAGTGTAACCAGTTTTGCCAAGTCTAAATAACCATTCAGTTAAGCTCTTTCAGAATTAGTAAAAAAAAGGGGATAACAATAAAATGACACAGTTGAAATATATTGGCTACTGTGGTGTGGATTATCTATAAATTTTGGAATAAATGACTTTTCTATTTTTTTTCTTATTTTCCAGAGTACTTTGCATTTAAAATTTAGATCTTCTTACATGGAAGAGGTCAAATCCAGTTATAGCAAAACACCTTTACAGCAGAGGCCATATAACCAAAAAGTCCAAAGGCCCAGCCCAGTGGACCATTTACTTCAATGATGTTCAGTACAAAATTCCACTGCCACTAAAGACTTTGGAAAGTCCTATTAAGTTGTAACAGGATTTGACTATTAGTATGGATTTTTATAACCCTTCTTTAGTTAACTTACGTTCTTTGAAGCTGCAGTCCGTTATAGAGAAGTATACTGCTTTCTTGCACCCTTAAGTTTTTGTCTGGGCTTTTATGCAGAGAATGGTATATTCTGAATGTCTTAATCAGGTTGCTGTCTTTTTCCTGTCTGGGGTTGCCTTCAGATGTGGGTGGGGACTCATTAAAAGACCTAGGAAGACCTTAAGTTGAAATTAATTCTCCAATACTTGAGTGTTTCCTTTGGTAAAATAAGTTTTAGGTCTTAAAAGAGGTAAATAGGTTTGGTGCCTCTCTACTATGGGCTATATATGAGCAGAGCAAAACTTTGTCTTATTTGTGGAAGATTGAGTTACTTTTTACTTTGTCCTCTAATTGATTATATTTAGGACTTACAGCTGTTGCACAGACTTATTTAATAGATAGTGTCAGGTTTTTCAGGCAACAAAGTTGGAATGTTATCTTTTGCCCTTCTGGGCATTGCTTTGATGACTTCAATATAAATAATGAGTGTAGCCTAATTTTCTGTCATGTGCTACCTAGCATATACATTTCTGACAGTCAGGTGGATTATCTTGAAATTTTAGACAAAAGTTTCTGCCTCCTTGGAAAGCTCTACATCTCCTTGTGATTGGAGTGTGGGTTTCAAGATTCCAGAAGGTGGGTGTCTTCATTTTCTACTTTCAATGCACTCTAAGATGACCTGCTTTACAGGTTCTCTCTGAGGCAGACTTCAATGCTCTTGTGCTAATTTTGCTTTGATAGGACTAAAGAGTTAAGTGAAATTTCCAAATGATGTAGACTTGTCAAAATGTTCAATCTTTTAGCCATTACAAATTGACATTTTAGTGGAATAAGTTTATTTTGAAATGTCTTTGAATTTATACTGAAATATCTGAAGGCACCTCTAAAAGTTGGGTGATGGCACACTGAAAAATACAGAACTGAACACAAAGATGACTGACTGGCTTTTTACCTTTCAGAGTTTATAATTTAATAAATAAATATATATAGAGATGTTGATTGTTGTTTTTTATTGCACCCCACAGGCTTGTATAAACTGGCATAAAAAGGCATACTCCATATTCCGGTATACTCAAAACTTTCAAAAGAAAGTATCTGAAATGATTACAATAAAGTCTAGGAGTGTCAATACATTTTACTGCAATAGTTTGTCCTTTGTCATTCCTTATAATTTTGCTGATAAAAACCAAAATATTGATGTTTGCATGGCTGTTGAAAGTATTTAAAGTATAAATTGGGTCAAAAATGGCTTAAGGAAAATTAATGTACTTAATGGAAAATTTTATATGTGGTCCAACATTAATATTTAACTGTTAACATATTCTATTATAACTTTGACTTATTACTGTATGCTGTGGATTACAGTAATATCTGTTGGCCAGTTATAAGATGAACTTTTTATTTAAAAGTTCAAGTTTTGATCTCTATCTGCTGATAAGACCTTTTTCTTGTTAGAGCTGCAGCTGACTCTCAGGAATAGTCCCTGCTCTCTCAAATGATTCTTTGTCAAATGCTGATTTTTGGTAGTAGGAAGTAAAGGTTGGGTGTTTATCTTACCTAGAAATTATTTTTCCATAATATGATTATGTATCATTGTATGATATTAAAAAAGCAAAATAAATTTTTAAACAGATTTTTAAAATTCTGACCATAAAAGGCAGTATATTTTGGCAGATTCTTAAACCTGCAATATAATGGTGACTTTTTTTCTTCTCAGGAGGAAAAAAAGCAAGAGCAGAAGTCGTAGTCATGAACGAAAAAGAAGCAAAAGTAAGGAACGGAAGCGAAGCAGAGATAGAGAAAGGAAAAAGAGCAAAAGCCGTGAAAGGAAGCGAAGTAGAAGCAAAGAAAGGAGACGGAGCCGCTCAAGAAGTCGAGATCGCAGATTCAGAGGCCGCTACAGAAGTCCTTAGTATGTAACTATAATTATGATGATTTTGGTTTGAGAGTCGTTTGCTGGGTATCCAGATAGCAATTTAACCTGAGTGATTTGAACTGTGAAATTTTAACTGAAAAGAGTGTTTCATTAAATAAGGATATTTGGCATAGAAGGACTAGTAAAGTGGAAAACTATTTGTGGACAAATACATCTGTTTTACTCTAGGCATACAGATTATTTTGTTATTCTATATTAAAATATTTTAGAACTGTATGCCAGTCCAAACTAAAGCATTAGAATGCTTAAAATATTTTTTTTGATATGTAATGCCAAATACTTGGTGTATGAACATTAACTGAACATAAATTTATTTAAAAGTTTAAAGCTCAGGTGGATGTAAGTTACAATAGTCAAGTATGTAATTTGTTAACAGTAATCTTATCTGTGTGGCTGTTTACAGCTGAAATGACAGACCCTTTATGAATTTGGTGTATGCTCCTGGATAATAACGATTTTGGGGGCTTATCACATTGTTTGTATTTAAGGGTTTTTTTTGTTGTTTTTTTTAAATAAAGCACTAAATGTGCTTTGAAGGTTAAATCACTACAAAAAGTTGGATGTGGCTATTTAAGGTCCTAAGTTTCAATATAGTTATTAAAAACATCTTAACTGTAAATAACTGGTAAAAGCAAGGATTGAATCTAAGAGTCCTTGGTGCTTTCCTCTTAATAAACATACTGTTATAAACTGGGGTATGTTAAAATTAACACTTCTAACTTTAAAACTTGAAATGTTGAAAGTAGAAATCAAAGACAAACAGCAAAATCAGAACCTTGGCTCTGCCACTTGGGCAAGTTACTGCAAGTTAACACTAAGCTTTAGTTTTCTCAACTTTTTTTTTAGTTTTCTCAACTTTTAAGAAAGGTAACAATTGTCAGAAGAAAAACTATTAATGAAAATTGAAGAGAATGTAAATAAAGCACCCATCATACTGCTATTCATGAAATGTTTTGGTGTTTGAAGCCATTAAAGTTATTACCACTTCGAGTTCTGATTCTGGTTCTTAAGTCTTTAAAATATAAAGAATTGAACTCTTTGTTTTTTAAGTTCATTCTAGCTGCTTATTTCATAAACTTTCTAAAGTGCTCTCTGTTCGGTGATGAATGCTCAAAGTCATCCTGTGATCCTGGTCTAACTTAAAAATGATTTAGTTTTTACATTTGGCTTCAGGTGATTTTTAACTATGGAGGCAAAAATTGGGACTTTTATAATTAAGGGAGAAGAAAGTATTTATACATGCTTCTTTGAACTTAATTTATTCAGTAAATGTATATTCTTATCACTATTAGCTTGAATTGCAAAGACTTAATACAAAATCATTTATTTGGAGTTGCTTGGATGTTGTTAGGTACATGTGTAGCTCATGAAAACAAATTCAAATGGTGGGTCACAGACCACTAGATATTTCATTTTGCTACCTTTCTGGAAAAGAATAACGGGATGAGCACTAAGGGACATTGATTTGTCTCTTAAATTTAGTTTCTTTTGGTCTTTCAAAATAAAAGGCCCCCAAACTGCTGGACCTTTTTAGAGTTATTTAGAATACAGAATAAATTTGTGTTTTAGAATAGTTGTCTTTTTGATTTTTTTTTTAAACCTTTAATATGTCAAGTCCTCAAAAAAAGTGTTTTTGAAGAATTGAACTTCCTTCACATCTTTACTATGGAATATTTTGCCACAGGGAAGTGAAGTATGATGTGCTAGATGTGTTTTTATGCAGTCCCTGAGATTTGTTGTAAAATGGAATTTTGGAGTTTCATGATTATGTATAAATAGTCTCCTTATTTTTTAAAGAAGTCTCTTAAGAAAACATGAATTATATGTATGTTCCTGAGAAAGGATGTGCAGAGATGCACGCCAAATTGCTAACTTTAGTTATTTCTGGTGTGAGAGAAGTAAGGACGTCTATGTTTTTCTTAAACCTCAGGAATGTATTCATAAATGTGTAATCTTTTAAAAACTATAGACTAAAAATAAGAATGAGCATTTTCAGAATTTAAAAATTTTGAGGCTGTAACCTTTGGTCTTGGCACCTCTCAGTGGTCCAGGATAACTGTAAGAACAGTTTGCTTGGGATAGAATTAAAAAGTCTATTTCCTCTTCATAATTGAGGTGGAAAAGAAGCAGCCTAAACAATGTTAAGCTTGCTGGAGAGCACATGAACGTGATCTTAGCAAGACCCTAAACCTGTAACTAGTGTAATTTTGTGTTTCCTTTTTAGCTCCGGACCAAAATTTAACAGTGCCATCCGAGGAAAGATTGGGTTGCCTCATAGCGTCAAATTAAGGTTTTTAAACATACTTCTGAATTGTTTAAATTGTTTTTCAAGGAACTAATGTGGTGTACTTGTTTGGGTAACTTCTGAAACTTTTTAACTTTGCAGCAGACGACGTTCCCGAAGCAAAAGTCCATTCAGAAAAGACAAGAGCCCCGTGAGGTAGCTGTCACTATTTATTTCTTTAGAACTTTTAGCTTTTATACAGCTTTTGTAATTTATACTACTGCTAAATTTAGTGACATTAAGTAAATTGGACCATATTAAATGTCCTAATGTATTCTAAATTTTCAACAGCTTTCCTTTTAATTGCATATAAATAAATCTTAACCAAGTTGACTGGTTTTTAAGTAGTAGTCTTTGGTTCTTCAATGTTTCTATAGGTTATTTTCCTTTTAAATAAACGTAAGACTTACCTGTCCAATTTACCATTTTGTTCACGTAACGTTTTATTATATTGTCAGCATTATATTCATAGCATTGTTCTTTACTGGTGTTCTGCCTTCCCTTAAAGGGAACCTTTCTTTCTTTTTTTAACTGATTTCAGAGAGGAAAGGAGAGATAGAAATATCAATGATGAGAGAATCATTAATTGGCTCCCTCCTGCATACCCCACACTGGGGATCAAGTCTGCAATCTATGCATGTTCCCTGACCAGAATTGAACCGTGATTTCCTGGTTCATAGGTCGATGCTCAACCACTGAGCCACGCTGACCAGCCTTTGAGGAAACTTTTTAACTTTGAGTTTATCCTGTTACTTGGTATATTCTAATATCCCAGGATTTGGTAAAAACCTCAATTTTAAAAGCTCTTGCAGATATTGAGGTTTTTAACTCTTTAATATTTAATTTTCTTTCTAAAAATTCCCTTTAGTTATCTTTCTCTGGATCTAGTCCAGCTTTGTATCTCTGTTTTACAGTAATATTTTTAAGATCACTTGTTGATTTCTCGATGGGATGTACCAGAATTTTGTATAGAGTATTTCAAAAGTATTCCTGAAAATGTTCAAAATAAAAGGCCCCCAAACTGCTGGACCTTTTTAGAGTTATTTAGAATACAGAATAGATTTGTATTTTAGAATAGTCGTCTTTTTGGATAAGACAGACCATGTTTATGCTTGTATCATGAAGGATTCACTTAGAACCTTAACCATATAGTGAATATTTCATAATTGATAATGTTAATAGATACTTTTATTTTCCTTAAAACTTATAAAAGTAAATTTCATCTATTATGCTTTTATTTTCTCCCTTGGGCACTTTAGTTTCTTTAAATTTAGAAATGTAAGGCTATTTGTAATAATGAATAAATTGTAGCCCACTACTATAATTTCCTGTTTTAAAAAAATGTTTTTATTGATTTTAGAGAGATGGCTAGAAAGATAGAAACATCAAAGTTTATTCTGTTTACTGAAAATGTACTTTAACAAGAATAAGTTATAAATTGCTGTATTTCTTTCTCCCATTAGGGAACCTATTGATAATCTAACTCCTGAGGAAAGAGATGCAAGGACGGTTTTCTGCATGCAGCTGGCAGCAAGAATTCGGCCAAGGGATCTGGAAGAGTTTTTTTCTACAGTAGGAAAGGTAATCTTGGCCTATTTAGGGAGGTCATATAAGTGGAAATTGGAAACATTTCAATAATTGTCAGTATGACAGATAAAATGGAAGACATCTAAACACAAACCTTTTGATTTAGTAGAATTTAAATACAGAATTTATTTTTTGTAACATTTCTATTTAACCTCACTTGGAAGTTAATAAATGTTGGAGGTGATAAATGTTACCACATTTATCAAAAAATAGAAGCTAGAAGTGGGCCCACAAATGTACTTATCTTTAAAAAATTTTAATGGCTCGCACCTTTGCTTTGTCAATAATATGCCTCTTGTCTGTTTTTGAAATTATTATTTAGAATGGCTTATACTGGATGGTTCCAGAAACAACCTTGTGTTAAGTGTGTGTTTTCTTTTTAGGTTCGAGATGTGAGGATGATTTCTGATAGAAATTCAAGACGGTCCAAGGGAATTGCTTATGTGGAGTTTGTTGATGTTAGCTCAGTGCCTCTAGCAATAGGATTAACTGGCCAACGTGTTTTAGGAGTGCCAATCATAGTACAGGCATCACAGGTAATTTTTTTTTCTTGCTTTAGATTTTGATCATTGATAATAGTGGAAACCTGCTGTTGGCTTAGTGTTGTGCTGTAGTGTTTTTTTGTGCCTTAAGGTCTAAATACCTATTTCATGACAAAGACTTGAGAACTTGATCTAGAATTTTATTGATTTGTAATAGTCTCTTAGTTGTTTATTAAGCATCCACGAGCATGTTTTTTCCTTGCAATTTGTCAAATTGAACAATTTTGACTTTTTTGAGAGTACATTTACTAAAGTTGGGGACAATGAAACAAGTTAGGGATTAGAGTAGAATAAGCAACAGGGGAGAGCCTAGGCAGAGCTGCTTTGGCTCACTGAATAGTTAGAGAAAAGGGAGCCTTGGAGACAGGTTTATGGCTTTACACCAGGAGAGCTGTGGCTGCTCATTGCTCCCCTGGTTGCAAGAGTTTAGGAGATGCACGCCTATAAGGTATGAAGAGGTGGGGAGGGAAAGGTATGGTGAGCTCCCAGGAGAGAGAGCACGCTAATTTTTAAAAAATACATATTTTATTGGTTTTTTACAGAGAGGAAGGGAGAGGGATAGAGAGTTAGAAACGTTGATGAGAGAGAAACATCGATCAGCTGCCTCCTGCACACCCCACACTGGGGATGTGCCCGCAACCAGGGTACATGCCCTTGACTGGAATCGAACCTGGGACCCTTCAGTCCGCAGGCTGACACTCAATCCACTGAGCCAAACCGACTACGGCGAGCACGCTAATTTTGACATTAAAAAAAAAAATTAACATTTTCTGTCCTTTCTCGTTTGCTCAGTGGTTAGTGTTAGCCAGTGAACTTAACTATGGCGAGCACGCTAATTTTGACATTTAAAAAAAAATTAACATTTTCTGTCCTGGCTCGTTTGCTCAGTGGTTAGTGTTAGCCAGTGAACTTAAGAGCATTAACAATTCTTGGTGAGTATAACAAAAAATTAACATTTTCAGAAGATTTTACTTCATGTCAAGAGTAGTTTGGCCCTGGCCGGCTAGCTTATTTGGTTAAGAGCATCATCATCCCAATAATGCCAAGGTTGCAGGTTTGATCTCAGGGCACATATAAGAATCAACCAGTTTGGTTCAGTGGATAGAGCGTTGGCCCATGGATTGAAGGATCTCTGATGTGATTCTGGCCAAGGTCATGATGTACCTCGGTTGCAGGCTCAATCCCCTGGGTGCCGCATGCAGGAGGCAACCAATTGATGTTTCTCACATCGATGCTTCTCTTTCTGTCTCCCTCCCTTCCACTCTCTTAAGGCAAAAAAATGTTAACCAAATGAATGCATAAATAAATGGAACAATGAATTGTTTCTCTCTTTTACCCTTCCCTTTTCCCCCCTCTCTACCTTCCTGTCAATAAATTTTTAAAAAGTAGTTTTTGAATAACCATCATTTCTAGTATTTCTTTAAAATAAGGTATTTCAAACTAATTTAAGAATATCTTCTAGCCCTAGCTGGTTTGGCACAATGGATAGAGTGTCGGCCTGTGGACTGGTTCTATCCCTGTCAAGGGCACATGCCTGAGTTGTGGGCTCGATCCCCAATGTGGGCTATGAAGGAGGCAGCCAGTCAATGATTCTCTCTCATCATTGATGTTTCTATCTCTCCCTCTTCCTTCCTCTATGAAATCAGTAAAAATATATTTATTTAAAAAAAGAATATCTTCTAAAATAGTCCAAATTAATTTAAGAATATCTTTAAGATAATCCAAATTGTAATATAATTCCTCTATGCTGATTCTTTACAAAATTGGCAAAAAATATTTTAGTTCATTTAGATGTGGAAAAATTGGGATGTATCAATATATTTATATAATAGGAAAGTATATGTTAGGATTCATCATCGGTACCTAAATAGTCGTGTTGGTAGGTTTTCAAATCACTGAACTAAATATGCCATAACTCCTAAGTTTTTGGTTCTTTCATCAGACTCATATAAGTTATAAATTAGGTTTGTAACCAAATCAGACTTGAAATTCCAGTTTCACTGCTAACAAGTTTATGCAACCATAATCAAATTACTTGCTTTATGACCTGTAAAAGGTGATAATGTCCTAGTTAATATTTTAGGAGTACTTAATGGGTATTTATCACTTGATTGTATGTAAACAATAGAAAAGTAATTCTCTGTTCCTGTGATGGAGGAGTACAAACCTAATAGTTTATAGATTCACCTGACCACCAGGGCTCAGAAGCATCAAATTAAATGAGATTTGAACTTATTTAACTTTAACTTTCTGTTCTCCTGTACTAAAGGTACGCCAGTTTTTTATGATAGGTACTTGGGAAAAAATGACGTATGACTAAATGGTTTGATTTGATTTATAATGTGCATTTTTACTTAATCTAACTTGTAGGCAGAAAAAAACAGAGCTGCAGCAATGGCAAACAATCTACAAAAGGGAAGTGCTGGACCTATGAGGCTTTATGTGGGCTCATTACACTTTAACATAACTGAAGATATGCTGCGGGGGATCTTTGAGCCTTTTGGAAGGGTAAGTTCCAATTTTTTGAAACAATAACTTTCAATAGGCTCTTGATCCAGATGTAACTATAGTAATTTTGTATATCTGCTTTGTTATATTCTATAAAAATTAAGATGGGGAGGGTGATTCTGCAAGGTGTTTGTGATAATTTCAATTGATCTTCAGTATTGTGACAAATCAATCTATTTTCCATTTGGAGTTAGACATTCTATTAATATGTTGTTGTTCATAACGCTACAGTAAAATGCATAGTGAGTATTAGAATCAATAATTTAAAAAAATCAACATGAATGATAAAAATGTACTGAATGCATTTGGAGCAAGAGTCTTTTTTCCCCTTGGTTTATTCTTTTGAATGCTTTTGTTTCTTACTGAAAATTTAGGGATATGTAGAGAAGTTTCTCTACTAAATTAAAGAATAATTAGATTTTCTGTTTATGTCCAGTGAGTCTTCATTTTGGAAAAGACATTTTATTGCAGAATAAATATTAATAGTAGGTTGTGCTTTGGTTTAAAAGATTCATTTTGTGCCTGAGAATAAAAATCTTGGTTCCTGCTGAACCTTATCCACTAGCAATGTTCATTGCTCTTGAATGTATGTTTTTATTGCTTTCTTTCACTACCCCAATTTACCCCTTTGTTAAACTGTTTTGAGTCAATAGTGGTAAACATTAGGATGTTGAGATTGTGAGTGCTTTGTGTGTTGGAAATACACACAAGTCATAAATGTATGGTTGATCAATCATTATAAAATGAATACATTTCCTGGATCCACTGGAACATGAATAAATACAAATTCATGCTGTATCTTAATGTTTCATTCTTTGTTTGTGTGGACAGCTTTATTTTGGGATATAAAATTCACAAACCACACAATTCACCCATTTAAAGTAAACAATTACTTTTATTCTATTCACAGAGTTGCACAATCTTCACTAAATCCAGTGTTCTTTTTAAATAATTTCAACATTTTGGGCAATTTATCATGCCTGGTATTGAGAATTATTTTTTGATGGGTTCAGCATAATGGGAAGGAAACAAAAATGTTTTCATTTCTAACACCTGACTGTATTTTACAAAGAACTTTTTATTTTTTGTTACTTGTTTTTGAGGCAAAAGATTAATATTATTGAAATATTCTTTAGCTCCCCAGTGCATGACTTCTTGCTTGGAAAGTTGCTAGGCTTTCAGAATATTTTGGGGGTGGGGTAATTTGGGTTGTGGTATGTTTTCACTTACTGTTTAGGGCAGAGAGGGAGATTATTCAATCATGTTTCAAGGAAAAACATTTTACCCCCTACTTTTTACTTAGTAATAATTAATGTTTTTTATTTCTAGATTGAAAGTATCCAGCTCATGATGGATAGTGAAACAGGTCGATCCAAGGGATATGGATTTATTACGGTAAACAATTAACATTATGACTTGAATGTTTTTGATTTAATCAGCATAGTAAAACTTCAGTTATTGATAGTGGAGAAGCACACATGGCTATTATTTTCAAGTGGCTTAAATTAGTGTGACATTATAGCCATTTTTTAGTAGCAGTATGTATCCACCAAATATGAAAATTTAACCAGTTTACTATTATCCTGTATTTGGTCAGTTTTGCTTAGCCAACTGTTCTTAAAATTAAAGTCTCTCCTTTAATTTTTGACTCTTGTTTGACACATTTTTGTCTGTTGAATGAGGTCTGTTGGGATTCCATTTTACTTAAAATTCTTTTTATATCTATGCATCTTACCACAATGATGAGGAATGCCTTGTTTCTCTGACTAGCCATTACAGCCCATTCCATGATTTTAAAAGAAGCACATATCCTTGCCTAAGGATTAAAAAATAAAAAATCAACCAATGAATGCATAAATAGGTGAAACAAATGATGTATCCCTGTGTCTCTCTTACCCCCAATCTTTTCTCCTTCACTCTAACACTGACCAATATAAACAAGTATTTAAAATACAGATAGGTCCCAGTTTTAATCAAGAAATTATAATTGTCTTATATTCAAATTCTCATAAAATTTAAACCTGTTGTAGGAGAGAATGTATTTTGTATGGTCATAGGGATTTTATTTAATCCCTATGGTGCTGGTGAAAGGAGAAAACTTGTTTATAAAAATCTTAAATCACCAACATTTTATTTTGTTTCTATAACATTAATGTGGTTATCTTCCTTCCCCCAGTATAAATATTGGTGTGCTTTTTTTAAATGGGATTTTAAATGTAACAATGATTATCTGTAAGTTTTCCCATCTCAGTAACAATATTATTATACTAGTGGCCTGGTGCACGAAATTCATGCACATTAACGGAATTAATTAGAGGAAATATTTTAATGTTGCTCTTTGCCCTTTATAATAGAAATGTCAGAGATGAAAGAAAATTAGTAAAATGTATATGAAAGTCTTCCTCCTGTCAGAGTCTGGGGTGTGCCATGGGACTGAGAGTCAAGTCCTCGCACACCCGCATGTGCCTCAAAATCGGACAAGACCGAGACTCAGCTGGCCCCACCCCCATTGTGTGAGATCCAGACCCAGCTGGCCCCAACCCCGTCAAGTCCTTCCAGGCAGGGGGCACAGCCTCAGGTCTCTCGGCTCCGTGCGGGGAGGGGGGGAGCACCTGTCAAGTCCTTCCGGGTGGGGGTTGCAGCCTCAGGTCCCCCAGTGCATGCTGGTTGGGGGGCACAGCCTCAGGTCCCCTGGCCTGCCACTGGGGTGATGGCCTGAGGTCCCCCATCAAGCCCCGCCAGTCGTGGGGTGCGGCCTGAGGTCCCCCAGCCTGGTCTAGGGTGGGGGACGTGGCTTGAGGTCCCCCTGCCTGGGCTAGGGCAGAGGGCGTGCTTTGAGGTCCCCCATCAAGTCCAGCCGGGTGTGGGGCGCAGCCTCAGGTCCCCCGCCCCGGCCCGACACCATGCAGCCTCAGGTCCCTGCTGATTGCTCGTTATGGCTTGTTATGGGAACCCCGCCTCTTCTGTGGGTATAGCCATCTTGTGGAAGTGTGATGGCATGATGGTTAATTTGCATATTACCGCTTTATTATATAGGATTTCATTTTGAGAGAAAAAGAGGAAAGGGGGATTGGTGAGAGACATCAATTTGTTGTTCCACTCACTTAATGCTTATTTATGATTAATTGATTGCTTCTTATATGTGCCCTGACCAGAAATTGAACCCAAAACCTTGACATATGAGAAGGACACTCTAACCAACTGAGTTACCTGGCCAGGGCCAGAAATTATTTTAAACAATAAACATTCTGATGAAAGATTAAAGTACAGGATTCATGGGAATATGTTCCTTTCTCCCATTAAATTAAAACCAGAGGGTATGAATTAGAGTTTTTCTGCGTTTGCAGCCTGCAATTAAGAATATTCATGATTTCATTGGCAAGAAAAGTTGACCCAGAATTTTGTATTAAAAATAATATCTGGCCCTAGCTGATTTGGCTCAATATTTGGAGCATCTGCCCATGGACTAAAAGGGTCCTGGCTTCAATTCTGGGGAGGGGGTGCCAGAGGCACCAATTGATGTGTCATGGAAGAAATGGGCTCAGGAAACAAGTTAAATGCAAAAGAAAGACCCTTGGAGTTTAGGGGAAAGGAGGGGTACAGAGGAGGAGGGGATGGGGAAAGGTGCTGGCATGCTTTTGAGAGGGAATCCCTATCTTGTCATTTTACTTTTTTAAGCTTCCTTTTAGGAGCCTTTCACTCTTTATTTTTTAATATATTTTTATTGATTTCAGAGAAGGGAAAGGGGGAGATAGAAACATTAATGATGAAAAGGAACAATTGATCAGCTGCCTCCAATCACATCCCCCACTGGGGATCGAGCTTCCAACCCTGGCATGTGCCCTGACAGGAATCGAATCATGAGGTCCTGGGTCAGAGGTTGATACTCAACCATTGTGCCACACCACCCGGGCCCTATCTTGTCATTTTAAATCATGTCAATAATACGGTCTGATCATGTTCGTGATATTATAGTTTGAAGTTACTTCATCATCTGCCCAGTTATAATTATTGAATATAATCCTACATAATATCCTATATAATAAAAGGCTAATATGCAAATTGACCAAACTACGGAACCACTGGTCGCTGTGATGCACACTGACCACCAGGGGCAGACGCTCAACATAGGAGCTGCCTCCTGTTGATCAATGTGCTCCCACAGAGGGAGCGCTGCTCAGCCAAAAGCCCTGAGCCAAGACTGGCGAGCACAGCAGCAGTGGTGGGAGCTTCTCCCACCTCTGTGGCAATCAGACATCCCCAGACTGCAAGAGGGTGCGGGCCAGGCTGAGGGACACACACACACACACACACACACACCCCCCAGTGCACTTTTGTGCACCGGGACTCTAGTAAACTTAATAAGCAACCATTTCCTTACCTATGTAAACTAATCTACTGGACTTTTTTTTTTTTTTTTTTTTTACCTCTCTCGATTAGTTTTCCGATTCAGAATGTGCCAAGAAGGCTTTGGAACAACTTAATGGATTTGAGCTAGCAGGAAGGCCAATGAAAGTTGGTCATGTTACTGAACGAACTGATGCTTCCAGCGCTAGCTCCTTTTTGGACAGTGATGAACTGGAAAGGACTGGAATTGATTTGGGAACAACTGGTCGTCTTCAATTAATGGCAAGACTTGCAGAGGGTAAGTTTTTTTTAGTGTTAATGATTTAGTATGACTATGATAATGAGAAAGTTATCTAGACTAATAAATGGAAAGTGATTGATTTTGGAATTGATGTTCTCCGTGGGCAGCACATGTATGTAATTTCATAGATTAACTTCCTCACCTTAAAGTTCTGATGGAATCTACTTTATGGTGGTGCATTTTTGAGTATCACATTGTATGCTACAGGATTCCTTGTGCTTTCTATAAAAATAACATTCTCAAAATTCAGAATAAACTTAATTGTAGCTCTTACACTATATGCTGCTTGTCATGTTTACTATTGGAGTTACTTTGGTATTAAACACTCAGAAATCTGGATTTTTCTGCTCTTAACACATTAAGGACTTTAAGACCTATTCTTTTCCAGGTACAGGTTTGCAGATCCCACCAGCAGCACAGCAAGCTCTACAAATGAGTGGCTCCTTGGCATTTGGTGCTGTGGCAGGTAGGAATTGAATCTTTTCTAATTTGAAATCATTGTTTTTTCACCTAATTCGAAAATTTGCCAAATTTTTGCATTTAAAAGGACTTACTGAGAATTCAATTCATCAAGTACTTATAGCCAATAAATTTCAAATGTCCCTATAAGAAAGTGAAGATATAGGACAGAATTATTTACTAATCATAATAAGCTGTCAGGATATTATATGGAATCCTTCACACCAATTTTAGTTTAAATTGCTATAAGCCATAGAGACCAAAACCTTTATATTGCTTTACAGCACAAAATGTTTCATTGTAATATTTAAGTTCAGAAAACTACCAGAGGGCTTTAAATCAAGCTTTACTGAAGTGATTGCAATATCAAGAGTGCTCAGTAAATTGCCCAGTAGAGTTCTTTCCTAAACAGTACACATTATTTTGAGATGTTGAGTTCAGGAATTAAGTTCTTGGAGAGGACAGGAAAAGAGGAGAGCATTGGCAGTTTATTACAATCCTCCTATATAATAAAAGGCTAGTATGCAAATGGACTGAACGGCAGAAGGACCAGTTGCTATGATGTGCGCTGATCACCAGGGGGCAGACTCTCAATGCAGGAGCTGCCTCCTGATGGTCCATGCACACCCACAGGGGGAGCGCCGCTCAGCCAGAAGCTGGGATCACAGCTGGTGAGTGCGGCAGCGGTGGCGGAGTTTCTCCCGCCCCCGAGGCAACGCTAAGGATGTCTGACTGCAGGCTTAGGCCTAAGCTGTCAGTTGGACATACCCAAGGACTCCTGGGCTGCGGGACACACACACACACACACACACACACACGCGCGCGCGCGCTCCATTGCACGAATTTCGTGCACTGAGCCTCTAGTTATATAGTGAGGAGTTTGATTTATGAAACACATGGTCTTCCTCTCTTTTATGGCTTAACTTAATTATGTGGATTTGTCTTTACCTTGATATTAACTCATATCTACAAGTTAGGATAATGTTTAATTTTGAAATGTTGACAACCTGGTTTTTTAGTACATATCAAAACTATTTGTATTGTGAACCCTGCATGACAGGAAGTATTTATTCCAAGAAAGTATGTAATTTATATTGCCGGGGTTCTTGTTCCAGCATTAAGA